ACCCGGATTGTTGTTGGGGGCAATATGCTGACTCTGTAAACCGCTTAGAGAGGGCTGAAAGCCCTATGAAGTGGTATATAAGTCTAACTGCTACTCTACTCATAATTTCCGCTACCGGCTTTCCAGAACTGGTCAGAACTTGCTGAAAACCACCTCTGGTGCGGAGGCCTTGAGTTTGACACCCCTGCTCTAAAAAGCACCTTTATCATTTATCATCTAAAAAGTCCAGTTGCCTCCTGAAAAAGCACCTTTCGGACCACCATGCCCTGGACGACTGAGAATCTCTACAAGTCTTTTCAGTTTTGCATCACAATCAGATTCCAACTTTTGGGGAGGCAGGAATTGCTCATTGTGGATACTGAATGTGGCCACAAGATGGCAGCAAGATCTTGCGAATGACTGTTCATCTGGCTTTGCATCCAATTTATTGGAGAAATAAATCATGGATGTTTTTTTTAAGAACTTCTTGTGCCTTTAGCCTCAGGAAGTGTCCAAGATTCTCCTCCTCTAAACAGGAAAAAAAACCCTGGATTTCAGATTATTTACTAATCACAGTCTTGGAATGAGCCAGGTGTAAAAGAGGAGGGTTGGATTAGAACCCAGAGCAAGTAGCAAACGCTTCAGAGCCATTGCTTCTATTCCTGGGCAACATTCAGCCTTTTTGTCAATAACTTGGACGGAGGAATTGAGGAGATGCTTAACGAATTTTTACCAGTGACACAGAGCTGAAAGAGGTTTAGATCAGTGTTTCTCAACTTTATAGTGACTTTAAGATATGTGGACTTCCAACTCCCAGAATTCTCCTGCCAGCATAGATTAAAAGTTGCTGACATGTCAGTTGAGCATGTGGTATGGATTTATGCTCAAAGAGGTTTCCATGCAATTGTTGGTCACTTTTTAAAGGTCAAGGTTCCCCTCACACATATGTGCTACGCATTCCCAACTCTAGGAAGACGCCTCTGTGGTCATGTGGCCGGCATGACTAAAGGCCGAAGGCCCACAGAACGCTGTTACCTTCCCACCAAAGATGATCCCTATTTTTCTATTTGCATTTTTTTTAACGTGCTTTCAAACTGCTAGGTTGGCAGAAGCTGGGACAAGTCACGGGAGCTCACTCTGTTACGTGGCGCTAGGGATTCGAACCTCCGACCTTTCTGATTGACAAGCTCAGCTTCTTAGCCACTGAGCCATCGTGGCTTTTTTTGTTACCCTTGGCAACGTGGCAATTCTTACCCCGGCATTGAATATTCTCGGTGTTGCCAAGCCGCCGTGGTGTTTCCTTGGAAGCCGAAGGAGTGTGGCGTGCTTTCCCCCAAAGTATATTCTGAAAGTCAAACAATGGGAAAAGAAGAAGCAGTTTAAAGGGACAAAGTTTAAAGAATAGAACAATAAAACAAGATTTCACAGCTCCAGTGAAGTGGTTCATTGTCTTTATAACACGCTTGGAAGTTCTCAGAGACGACTACAATTGAGGTAGTCCTCCATTTACAACCATTCATTTAATGGTCGCAATTCAGAGTTTCCATGGTGTTTTAAAAATGTATGACCAGTCCTCGCACGTATGACTGTTGCAGCCTTCCCGTGGTCACATAACCAACATTTGGGCTCTCGGCAACCGGCATATAATTTATGACAGCATCCTGGGATCATTTGATTGCCATTTGTGAGTTTCTGACAAGCAAAATCAATGGAGAAGCCAGATTCATTTAATGACCACACAATGAACTTAATGATCACAGTGGTTCGCTTAATGACCACATCAACGAAAGGTTGAAAAAAAAACTGGGTGCAAGCCACGTAACAACTGCATCGCTTAGCGACGGAAGACATTTTGGTCCCCCATTGTGGTCGTAAGCCGAGGACTACCTGAAAACAAATATCTCTTACTGTAGATCCAAATTCCCTGCTACATAGAGTTAAAGCATGGCATTCGAGGACTGAAGGGGCCTTGGAGATCTTCTAAGGCCGGTTTTTCTCAACCTTGGCCACTCTTAAGATATGTGGACTTCAACTCCCAGAATTCCTCAACGCTGGCTGGGGAATTCTGGGAGTTGAAGTCCACATATCTTAAGAGTGGCCAAGGTTGAGAAACACTGGTCTAGATCAGATCTATCTCCTGTCCTGGACTGACGGAGAGAGCCAAGGAGATGATTTTGGAAAAGCCAGGTAGCAATTGAATAAAATATGATTTAATTCAATTCAAAACTTTATTGTCAGAGTACAACAATACGTACGAGATTGGTTGAACCTCCCTTTCTGCAACCCCCCCAACACAATACAACTCACAGTGAAAGACAAAATAATAATAATAATCCCCAGCCCAGTGAATCCTGCTAACAAACATCCAGTCCTATTGCACCAAGTCAAAATTTTCCCCCCATTCAAGATCTTTTTTTAAAATTTTTGAATACAAATAATACATATTATAGGAACAAAGAGTTGTGCGGGTCTTTTCTTTTACTTTCTCCCAATTACATAGTCCCTTTTACACCATAGTTTTGTTTTCACTTTCAGCCAAATTATTCTCTTCCACTGTTTTTCATCTTTATATTTATTTATTTTCTTAATACATCAGCAATATCTTCAATTGCCCCTTCAAAGTTACACCCAAATTCCCTTTCTTATTTTCTCCATTGGCATATTTTGCTATAAACAGCATACGTCCTCTAATTCGACTTAAGCACAGAGAGCATTTCTTTCAAGTTTTTTTTCTACCATTAACAATATACGGTCATTTCTTTGTTTCTTACTTACGTAACAATAACAATCTTACTACTATTATCTTCAGTCTGCTAATATAACTCTTTTTTCCCGTTCTTCCCCTTTTAACCATTTTCTCTTGGGCTCCCAAAAAACCCTATTTTAATTCTTTTCCTTCTTCTCCCCCTTTCCCCTAACTCCGGGATGGCGAACCCATGGCACGCGTGCCACGGGTGGCACGCGGAGCCGTTTGTCAAGGCATACGAGGCGTTGCCCTGTCAGCTGGCCAATCGCACTATGTTGCTGTAGAGTTATTTTTCATTCCGGAGTCTGGTCTGGCGAGGCTCCTATATTTCCTTCCAGATGGTAGGAGAATAAAGACCAAGACCAGGGTGTGAGTCGCCCCTGAGGTTTTTCCTCATTCTTCTAAGGCAGCGAGCCCTAGCTACTATGTCGCCTTGTGGTATCTAGTGTTTTGTGCTTTAAGTCCAGGACTGAGAGCAAATGGGAGGAGTTTGTTTCCTGAACTTGGCCCACCTCAAAGGGCTGTCAACAACGATCCTCAGACCATCCCAGACAAATGGCTCTTCAATCTCCAGTGACGGGGCACCCAAGAAACAGACACAGTGTCAGGCCTGCCACCATCTTTTCTTTTGGATCTTTGGCCTGCCACACTTTCTATTATTCTACTATGCATTTTCTATTGTGGGAAAAATGGGAGGGGGGATTGTACGGAATGAGATGCGATGTAGCCATAACAACATTCTTTCTAGAAAGCCAAGGTCATCCTGTGTCTTGGCACCTCTGCACCTGACCAGAACTGGATGGGTGGAAGCTGCCAGCATGGCAGTGGGAGATTGGACCATG